CCTCAAAAAAAAAAAAAAAAAAAAATCCAAAGGAAGTCCACGCACTGCATTATTTGATATGTTTATTTTTTTACTTTTGGAGTTGGGTTCTCACACCATCGCCAGGCTTGAGTGCAGTGGCATGAGCATGGCTCACCACAGCCTCAACCTTGGCTCAGGTGATCCTTCTGCCTCAGCCTTCCAAGTAGCTGGGACTACAGGCACAGGCCACCACACTCGGCTAATTTTTGGTTTGTTTTTTTTTTTTTATAGAGACAAGGTCTTATTATGTTGTCTAGGTTGGTCTCAAACTCCTGGACTCAAGTGATTTTCCTTTCTTGGCCTCCCAAAATTCTGAGATTACAGGTGTGAGCCACGTCCAGTCACATGATTTGATATGTTTTTAAAGCATCTTTTATTTATTTATTTATTTATTTATTTATTACTATTTATCTAAAGTTGGAGTCTCACTCTGTCACCCAGACTGGAGTGCAGTGGCATGCTCCCGGCCACCTCGACCTGCTAGGCTCTGGCGATCCTTCCACCTCAGCCTTCTGAGTAGCTGGAACTACAGGCGTGTGCTACCATGCCCAGATAATTTTTTTTTTTATTATTGTAGAGATGAGGTCTCGCCAAGTTGCCCAGGCTGGTCTCGAACCCGCGGGGCTCAGGCAATTCACTCACCTAGGCCTCCCAAAGCACGGGATTACAGGCTGAGTCACCAAGCCCGGTCAGCGTCTTTTAATCTATAGATAAGACCTCTTTCCCTCTAACATATTTGGTAGGTTACTGTGAGATTTAGCATTCTTTCCTTTATTCAGTACGTAAGTCATCCAATTAAACTTTTACTGACCGCCTGATCTGTGCCCAGTAGCGTGGAGATAAAGCAACAGTGAAGTAATCCCTGCCATCCAGGACCGCCAAATCTCATTGACTCTACGCTAGTGATGTATCAGATACCCTTAAACATTTCCTTGGAGCTACAGCAGCTCCCTAAGGAGCCTCCAGGAGACTATACATTTCTCAGAAAAATATTGTATCCAAAAGCTGCCAGCTTGGAAAGACTGGAGTCTATTCTGGAACCAAAACAGACTGAGAGCTGGGAAAAAACCCAGGCGGCTCCTCTCCTCTCCTCCCTGTATTTTGGAAAGCATGTGCTCCCCAGTGAACACAGAACTGAAATCCTGCTCCCTTTTTTTTCCTCCTAGGCTATTTTTTCTCCTTAAACCTTACACCATCAGGAAAAACATTCAAAACCCACAGTCATAATAGGTCTAGGAATTGTCACATTTGTTTCTGTTGAAAGATGGAGTTTTCAAAAATTGAATTCACATATAATAAACATTTAGGGAACTTGCCAAGTCTAGCAAATTTGCACTTAAACTGCTATCACCACAGCCCTATAGTATGAGTTTTAAGTTTGCCAGCCATGTGATGACTCTTTCTCTTCATCCTGAACTACCTGTTAGATTTATCCATCATATGTGCAGTCGAAACAAGGCTCTAGTTTTGTATTCTTTCTCCTGTTATCTCTGTCTCTTGCCCCTTATCTGTTGCAGCTTAACTGTGATGTTTCATTCTGGACTCATCTTTTGCCAAATCTATTCATATTTTTGCTTTGTTTTCCCAAATCTGTAGTTTCTTTCCTCTTAAGTTACAGACTTAGCTCAGGGCCTGGTCATTTCTTGGGTGATGGCAGCTTTTTTTTTTTTTTTTGAGTTGGAGTCTCACTCTGTCATCCAGACTGGAGTGCAGTGGCCGCTGCCGGCCACCGCAGCCTTGACCTGCTGGGCTCCGGCGATCCTTCCGCCTCGGCCTTCCAAGTAGCTGGAACTACAGGCGCGTGCTACCACGCCCAGCGAATTTTTGATTTATTGTAGAGATGAGATCTTGCCAAGTTGCCCAGGTGGGTCTCGAACCTGTGGGCTCAGGCAATTCACTCACCTTGGCCTCCCAAAGCTTGGGATTACAGGTTGAGCCACCGAGCCCGGCCTGGGTGATGGCAGTCTTAACACGTCCAGAATTCTTACTGGAGCACTGCCCCCCCCCACCTCTACTGATCCTTCAGCTCCCCTACTTCCCATGGCACAGAGGACCAGGGTGAACTCATTCTCTAATTTCAGCAGGCTGCTCTATACCATCTCCTTTTAGAGTAGTCACAGGTCTTTCCTGGGGTGGGAGGCTGATTTTCATTGACTGAACTTACCAGAGTGGGGGCAGTGAACTTCTGAGGAGAGGAAGAAGAGGCTCCAGTTGCCACCAAGGGTATTTCCCTTCAAACTGGAAATTCAAACACATCTCAGAGAGGTAGGATGTGGCAGTAGTGGCAATATGCTTGGAGTATGTAGTAGGTAAATCGTGGATACTTCCTAGTAGATCATAAGTGCTGTCGTTTGCCAAATGCCTACTCAATGGCAGGCACAGTGCTAAAGGGTTGACAAGGATTATTTGACGTAGTTCTCACCACAACTTTATGAGGTAACTTCTCTTACCATCCCCATTTTGCAGATGAGAAAGCAGGCTTTAGGAAGTTAACTAACCCGCCCAAGGTTAGCGCAGCTAGGAAGTAGCAGAGTCAAGATTCAAGTTCATGTATATCTGACTGGAGGGCTCATACTCCTTCCACTGGGCCTCCAAGTTTACCAGTTGATGAGCCCTAGTACAACACACAGTACACCACCCTATACTGTGAGTTTTAAGTTTACCAGGCATGTGATGGTTCTTTATTTCCATCCTGAACTACCTGTTAGATTTATCCATCATATGTGCGGTTGAAACAAGACTCTAGTTTTGCATTCTTTCTCCTGTTATCTCTGTCTCTTGCCCCAATATCTGTTGCAGGTTGGCTGTGATATTTCATTCTGGACTCGTCCTAGTGAATGTTGTATCTTCCACTTCTTCTCTGATCTAATTCCCACACTTTGGCTACTGAGCCTTTTCAACGTTGTGTTATCTAATTGGTAAGATAGTTACACAACTGTATCTTCCAACCCAAGTATCAGTATAGCCTTTAGTGAAATTGACTCAAACTATTGAATAAGAAACCACTGAAAATTGGTGTTTACAATAGCAAAAACATGAAACCCACCATGCTGCCCATTGAAGCTGGACTGTATTAAAAACATGTATACAATGGAATATTATGCCGCCATAAAGAAGGACAAACATATGGACTTTGCAGCAACTTGGACGCATTTAGAGTTGATCATACCCAGTGATCTATCACCGAAACGAAGGACAGAATACCATATGTTCTCACTCACAAGCAGACTTTGAAAAATTATCATAATTCTATGAGAAGGGGATTGGCAGTAGTGGGTAACTGCCAGGGGAGGAGGGATAGGATTGGCAGATGAGGGAAACTGCTAGGGGAGGGAGGGGCACACCTCATCAACAAGGGTACCTGAATAGTCAACGTTTGTATACCTAACCCTGAATTATACCCCACATCTTTAAAATTTTTAAAAAATTAAAAATTGGTGTTTAATATATGTCTTGCAATGGAGATAAATAAGACTTCTCTTAATCAGGATTCCTTCTAGAAAGGATCGTGAGACAATAAATGCTGAGTTCTTGGGTTTGATTTTAATATACATGTGTAAGGAAACTGTACCCCATTTATCACACTGGTTATCCTGTAAGAAATGTTTGTTGTATGAATGAAAGAGAGTACTAGAAGTCTCCCTGGGTATTGAAGGAGGAAGAAATGAAAATATTTTGAATGGCCACTCTAGTGTTGAAAAGGTCTAGACTTAAAATTATTAAAGGGCAAAAAAAAGTCCTCATTTTTTTTTCTTGACTTCAAATAAAGTAGAGCAAACATGGGCTGTGCCTTCACATTCTAAATACAGGCCTGCAATATAAGGGAAGCTTCATGGAATGCCAAAAAGCACAAAATATCAAGAATGCCCTTTAAAGACACTTTGGAATTTCTCATAGAGCTAAACATTGGTAAAACCCAGATGGGAGAAAATGAGAAGAAAAGAGGAGTTGAGATGATTTGTTAAAACACAGATTGCTGGGCCCCATTCCCAGAGTTTCTGATTCCATAAGTGTTATTATTTGTATAACATCTACTCCTGAGGAAATGTACCGAATAATGTCTAGTGTGGTGTCAATTACAGTTGAGTACTTAATACCATTGCACTTTGATGATGCGAAATATTAGAGATTCTAATAAAGATGTAGTGTCAGCCCCGCTCGGTGGCTCAGCCTGTAATCCTGCGCCTTTGGGAGGCTGAGGTGAGTGGATTGCCTGAGCCCGCGGGTTCGAGGCCCGCGGGTTCAAGACCCGCCTGGGCAACTTGGCGAGACCTCATCTCTACAATAAATCAAAAAAATTAGCCGGGCGTGGTAGTGCGCGCCTGTAGTTCCAGCTACTAGGAAGTCTGAGGCGGAAGGATCTCCGGAGCCCAGCAGGTCGCAGCTGCGGTGGCCGGAACAGCCACTGCATTTCAGTCTGGGCGACAGAGTGAGACTCCAACTCAAAAAAAAAAAAAAAAAAAGATCTAGTGTCACGTACATCCTGGATCCTTTGCCTTAGGGTACATCGAAAGTCAAGGTATTACCATGACATTATCAGTAAGCGTCACAATTAGGGAAGCGTATCACAATACAGAGAGGTGCAGCAGGGATGTCCAATGACATTTTGTACCACAATTCCCTGTGACAGAATCTAATACAACACACACAGGACAGTACATGAATGAACCCAACTACATTTTAAAATGAGCTAGTTAGATGAAGGAAGAAAAAGTAAAGACATCCAGGAAGTGAAATGAAGAAATTCCTCTGTGAATTGAGAGAGATGTTTCCCAGGGAACTTGGTCAGGTTCCTAGTAGACCATGCCCCCTCACCCATTATTCTCAACCCCCAGTGTATTATGTTGCAAACTCAGATGTCTCCATGACAGAGGGAATGGCTCTTTGCTTTGAGTGATGATCTAAATGTTTGGAAGCTGTGTGGATGAAAGGAATCTTATCCATATTTATACATTGCAATTCATTAATCATCATTTTATTTGAGACTACATGGTATTCTGAACATCAACCTACAGAATGGAAAAAAAATATTTGCAAGCTATGCATCCAACAAAGGCCTAACATTCAGGATCTACAAGGAACTTAAAGGAATTGACAAGAAAAAAACAACCCCATTAAAAAGTGGGCAAAGGACAGGAACAGACACTTCTCAAAGGAAGACATTCCAGCAGCCAACAAACATATGCAAAAATGTTCAGCCTCACTAATCATCAGAGAAATGCAAATCAAAACTATAATGAGATATCACCTCATACTGGTCAGAATGGCTGTCATTAAAAAGTCTGAAAACAACAGGTGTTGGTCAGGCTGCAGAAAAAAAGGAATGCTTCTACACTGTTGGTGGGAATGTAAACTAATCCAGCCTTTGTGGAAAGCAGTGAGGCGTTTTCTCAATGAACTAAAAATTGAGCTACCATACGATCCGGCAATCCCACTTGTGGAAATACACCCAGAGGAATATAAATCGCTCTACCAAAAAGATACTTGCACATGTATGTTCATTGCAGCACTATTCATAATAGCAAACACAGGGAATCAAACCAGATGCCCATAGAAAGTGAACTGGATAGGCCGGGCTCGGTGGCTCAGCCTGTAATCCCGTGCCTTTGGGAGGCTGAGGTGAGTGGATTGCCTGAGCCTGCGGGTTCGAGACCCGCCGGGGCAACTTGGCGAGACCTCATCTCTACAATAAATAAAAAATTAGCCGGGCGTGGTAGCGCGTGCCTGTAATTCCGGCTACTTGGAAGACTGAGGCGGAAGGATCGCCGGAGCCCAGCAAGTCGAGGCTGCGGTGGCTGGGAGCGGTCACTGCACTCCAGTCCGGGCGACAGAGTGAGATTCCAACTCAAAAAAAGAAAAAAAGAATGATGGTCTCCAGTTGCTATAAAGGACATGATTTTGTTTTTCTTTACGGCTGCATAGTAGTCCATCATGTACATGTACCACATTTTCCTTATCCAGTCAACTGTCTTTTTAATTTTTTAGTTTTTATTTTTTTGAGTTGGAGTCCCACTCTGTCACCCAGACTGGAGTGCAGTGGCCGCTCTCGGCCACTGCAGCCTCCACCTGATGGGCTCCGGTCATTCTTCCGCCTCAGCCTTCCATAGCTGGAACTATAGGCGCGCGCTACCACGCCTGGCTAATTATTTATTTATTTATTATTTATTTATTTATTTTTTGAGTTGGAGTCTCACTCTGTTGCCCAGACTGGAGTGCAGTGGCCACTCCCGCCCACCGCAGCCTCGACC